ATTGAAGTAAAGAAATACTTGATTAACTCCATAAAAAAGTGTGACCGCCGCACGCGCCTTGTTGCCATATGTGACGTCCAACTGTTGTAAGACCAAAGAACATTCGGAAATAAACAAACAAACAAAAAAACTTAGTGCTAGTTTGTTCTCCGTCGAAAAACTCACTTCACATTGCACTATAACACGAAAAACCAAGGTAGGGCCTATAAACTTTATCAAAATATTATACAAAGATCGTGAATAAAGTGAATGATCACGTAAAATATGAATATTAATGAGGGGTGAGTGAGGCGGAACATATGACGCATGCGTGAAAATTATTCGTCACCCGGAGGATGGAGTGCGGCATATACCTTTATAAACAGGGTGGGGGCAACTGTGCTCCCTCTATGTCCCCTTTTCCAGGCCACGGTCCTGTTGACATAATTAGCCATGGGTTAGTGATGATAATCATCAAAATAATACGTCTCTTAATTTCTTCTCATCTTACGATGTACCATCACCTTGTTTATTTACTTACTAGATGGTTGCTTTCATTTCCATCAAACAGAACATCATAGTGTGCTGAACAACTTTACCTCTAAAGCATCCATGTGACAGTTCCTTCTCTGTGCTTTATGCGCACTCTTATCAAAACGCCCGAGTCATCATCTCAGTGAATCTCATATAATAAACTACATAGCATCAATCTTTTCTACGCCACAATCCAATAGGGATACCAGATTTATTACGTCCCATTACGTGAACGAAAATCTAAAAGTCTAAAAGGCCGAGGGCTGACATTCAGTTTAAGTTTGCAGTACTTTTATATATATTAGTTTGTTCTGAAATGGCTATGTACATTTGTTTTTAAACAAGGAAGTAACATTTATGTACGTTCTGCTGGTAAATGCAATATGTTTGAGTCATTCCGAGGAATAATAAATATTGCAAACTTTATTGCATGCACTTGCTATCAACAGTAAGATAATGGGGAAATAACGGCATGGCATGTCACGAGTAGCGTTCACAAATTCTAAACTACCGCAAACATGTTATGTTTTATTATTACTGTATGTGACTTGGTGGAGTATGTGAATTATGTGGAGTGAACGATAACATGCATTCCTTGCATTTTCATTTCTCGTAAAAGTCGTTGCCTTTGAAACACGGGAAACGAATTCTTTGCGTGATCTCGAATTTCGATGTATGTTTTTACCACTATAAGTGCTTAAATGTTTGCGACCTAGCATATGTACGCCAAAAAAAAAAACATTTTTGGCATAGAGAAGTACATGTAAACCATCACATGAAAAGGAGCGTGCCATCGGGCGTGAGTACAGGCTACCATAGGGCCTGTTCAGATCCAGTTGATCCGCGGACTAACTAGTCCGCATATCAAATATTGCTCGCACTTGACAACGGATTCCCGCCTCCCAAGCGCGCCGTCCCTACAGAGAAACAGACCTACCCAACTACCAGACTCGGCACATACGGATCCTGAATTAACTGGTATATCGGACCACACTACCCGTTTTCAAGGTGTGTGTCGACAGATCGCATTTCGGAGTATCAGTCAGAACACGACAGGATGAGCCCGCGGTCGTCCTACAAAATTTGTTCTGGGGTATGATACTCAGAAATGGGTAGTGTGGTCCGATATGCCGGTTAATTCAGGATTCTTATGTGCCGAGTCTGGTACACACACTGGACAATAGAAGTGTCACCCCCTGAATCAGAGTAATCAAGTTATTAACCCGAAGAGGCGGAATATAAGCAATGTAAGAATATCGATACAGCTGAATACAGTTTCTTTTGTGAAATATGATGTTAATAAAATGATACCAGGAGCATATCGTTCCAAAGTCATTTATCTCCTCCAAAGTATTGGTTCAGAAGGGGTGACACTTCTATTGTCCAGTGTGTGTAGTTAGGTAGGCCTGAGAAAGAGGAATTAAATTTCGCCAGGTTATGAAGTGGATTGCGCCGTATCCATATCCGCAGACCAACTGTTTCTGAATAGGCCCTTAAAAGAAAGAGACGTGTCTGAATGAAAATCCTGTATAATATATTGTTCTTTTATAGCTAAGCAATCCAAGGTAGTGCAGCTTCACAGAAGAACAACTATCTCTGCGAAGGTGCCATTTTAACCTGAACCCGTTCAAATCAATTTACTATAAACGAAAGCCACTTTAAATGAGCGACTTGAACTTTTCAAATCATGAAAGAATCTGAAGAAAAAAACCCGCTGTAAATGCCTGATTACAACTTACGTTATCAGAGGCATTAGGTTAGCGATTCACTTCCCTGCTCTTTCTTTTGATAAAGCTTGAGAAGTGAAAACGTATTAGACCTAGGTCGATACTCTCGCTGAGCTGACGGCTAAAATTCCACGCGATCCGTAGCTCAGCTTTATTCTCCATAGGTACCATGGCCCCTGGGAACCTGCATGTGAGTGTTTCACCAAAACTGCGAAATCGACATGCACTATTTTGGATTTACATTTTACTGGATCCTATAAATGGGATTTAGACTTACACTGTAGTTTTTTTTTTAGCTAAAAATGATCATTTCTTGAAAGACCAAGTTAACATGGCCGTTGTCGCTTTTTCATTTTTGTGGCCAGAAAAATGTTAAATCAAAATGGTCCTCGTCAACTTCGAATTCTTGAGGCCTGATAAAAGATTAACTCGTTTTGAATTTTTGTCCATGTCGATGCACGGCTTATTTGGCAATTTTGTCAACAAGGTTTAGGTTACATTTAGTTCAGGGATGAAATAAAGACCCTCAATGTGTAAAAGAAGGGTGTGCAAAATACTTCACACTATTCAGTTTACATTAACCATTTGCATTCCCCTTGTTTCACAAAGTGCTATGTTGTTTAAGTGGGAGTGTTTTGGCCTTTTTGTCGATATACGATTCAAAAGGAGGTGCAGTTTTCGTAAATATTAAAACCCAAAGACGTACAAAATTGCGAGAGAGAGGGAGAGAGAAATTATTCTCAAATCTACTTTGAAATTGATACATACAATTATTCACAAACTCTTTTAATGAAAAATGTCCATTTGCTATCGGTAACTGTTCACATATCACATTACACATTATTACAGGCGTCAAAAAGAATAGCGATGAAGGTCACGTGTACATGTACATGTATGCTGTAAACTGTTTATTTTCCTAATGCTAACATTATGTTATCGTTTTATTAAGGCCATATTGGCTCGACCAACTTGAATATAATTATGCATTTATTTTGGTTACGCTGATTGTATATATATTATGTATTCTTTGAGCTTGTAAAATTATACTTTTTTCTTGCAGCTTACGTTGGAATAAATTATCTATTATCTGACAGGCCGTATGTACATGTAACTCATTCTGTGGGCGTACAGTGCAGTGAGTCTGGACTTGTTCTATCTTAAAGTCGGTCACCAAACAATGCTACTACAGTTATTTATCAGAACGGAGATTTCAAATGGTGTCATTTCTTTGAAGAATCCACCCTGGGCGGTTTCAAAGTCCCGGCGATATTTATAGATATGTAGCTACCCCGCTTAGTTATTCATATTTAGGAGTTTTACTTTCAGTATATATGATTTCAGCTAGGGATTATTGGGCGATGAAAGAACTAAAAAACAAAGCCGTTTCTGTAGGCTTATCATTTCTTTGCCTGATGTCAAGTGGGATTAGAAATCTCGCATTCACGAACCATTATTGTTACAGAAAATGGCAGGCGTAATGATAAATGATATGTCATCTTTTTCGGTATACGCTATTCATTATCTTCAGTCGTGAAAGTGAAAAACATAGCTATTGGTTTTCTGGCACCTCGACAAAATTGGTCGCATTAAAAAAGTATTTTATTGCAAAACCGCTGAAATGTAAATATTTAAATATAGAATACTTTGCGTGATCTTCCTAACGTTACTCATGTTTCTATTTATTCATTTATTCAAGACGTGGAATGGTTGAAAAAAGGGTTTCCCCATAATGAAGCCAAACTCATCACTCTTATTATTGAGGTTTACATTGAATTGGGCTTGAAGAATAAAGTCTGGGAAATGTGGAATGGATGAAAAAAGGGTTTCCGCATACTGTTGAGCAAAACTCATTACTCTTACTATTGAGGTTTACATTGAATTGGGCTTGAAGAATAAAGTCTGGGAAATGTGGAATGGATGAAAAAAGGGTTTCCCCATACTATTCAGCAAAACTCATCACTCTTACTATTGAGATTTACATTGAATTGGGCTTGAAGAATAAAGCTTGGGAAATCATGCGTCTTGGAAAGGGCTATCCGTCGCTGTTCGCATGCCCGCGACAATTACATCAGAAACTCGAAGCCTTATTTGAAGTTTTTCCTTCAACCCGCTCACTCGGGCAATGAGACCAAACTGCAATGAAACAAACGACTCAAGTAAAAAAAGGGTTTAAACAGATGTTTGGAAATATATAAATAGATAATGGCTCTTTTCAGCAGGGGGTGCCGATCTCATGTCTGAAACTGTGCCATGTTGATGCAAGCGTGAACGCTCATGTTTGATTTATGGCACGGAGTGGCAATGAACATACACTAAATGTTCTGAGTAGAACTGTCTCATTGAGGAACGTGTTCAATCTGCAATGGTAATTCACAGGTACAAGTTATGGCAAACCCACGCTGTGTTCCTCTTTAGGGGTTACTTGTTAGTCTAAGGCCAGCAACCCCTTTACCTTATTTTATCCACATCTGTCATATTTTGACAGATAATCATGGAAGTCAGAAGGCATAGTCAAATATATATCATTTTATTACCATTCTCCCGTTCATGAGCTCATTTTGAATTCACGGTTGTCGCTCTGAATTTAGCACTGATGCATCACGGAGGAATACAAAATGCAATAAGAAAGTTTGTATAATTTTCGTTACCATAAGATAAACAGCCCCTGCCGATGGAACCGGATGTATTGATTCACTCCACCCACGGTAAAGTGCCCGACCGCTAATAATTCTGTGCTGGTGCTTGCTCTAAAATCATAAACGGAATTGTTCATATTTAAGAGGGACTTTTGTTTGTGGAGGTTCCCAGTATCATCTTAAATACAGCAACAATCTGCTGCCCGACAAGCTCGGTCAACCCGAGAAGCTCGGTCTAACAACTTTCTGAAATCTAGCGATTTAACAACGCAAGAGTAACTAGGGAATTGAGAGAAGACGATGGAATTTACAAGCACGGCGCCGTGGCTCGAAGCCACTCACTCCTGGATATTAGCCAGCATAAGTGAGCATACCCACTCTTTTTAAGTGTACAAAAGAAGAAAGAACAATTTCCAGCTGCTTGAATTTCTATAATTTTCTTGACGGGTTCAATTATGCGCGTACCGCGTGCACCGCAGGAGAGATGATATAGATAGGGCCTGATTTAATAAGCGATACATTTATCCTAACTGAAATCACGCTGTCTGTAATAGCCAAACACAGAGTTAATAGTTTGGAGAGGTTCGGGTTAAGCAGCTCCCTTAAGAGGTTTCACAAGCAAAGGTAAACATTATTTCAAATTGGCCTCAGACGGTATTTGGAACAAGAATAAGGACAACGTACGAATCCATTGTAGTTTGCGTGTGGAGATACATTGATAAGAAATGGGGTGGCTTGTATACTTTTTATTATTTACCTTAGGGTTACCTGGAAGTGAGAGCATTGGAACATTTCTGGATAACGTAATAGTCGACACCACCGTCGGCCCCCTGAGGGGAGAGATATTGAGGACTCCCCTTGGAGTCTTGTCCAGATTTCTTGGAATTCGTTATGCAAAGGCTCCAATAGGGAATCTACGCTTTGAGCGTCCCCAGAAACCTCCAAGGAGCTCTGACGTCGTCAACGCCACCGCTTTCGGTGACATGTGCCTTCAGGATCTCAATGTACAACTGGAGACCGTATTCCCGAGGACTTACGTTAATAAGCGCTTCCCACACACCCGCATGAGTGAGGACTGCTTATCGCTGAACATTTACGTTCCAGGTTCCTTGCTGAACGCAACATCGATTGCAGAAAGGCGGGCGTTAGCGGTAATGGTGTACATTCACGGGGGCTCCTGGGAGTGGGGCACTGGCATGAACTTCGATGGTACCAACATGGCCCTGTTGGGTGACGTCATCATAGTAACAATAAATTACCGCTTGGCCCTATTTGGATTGTTCTCCACTGGAACTTCTGCAGCCCCTGGTAACTATGCTTTCGAGGACCAACTGTGCGCCATACACTGGGTGAGGAATAATATTGAAGCGTTTGGGGGAAACGCCTCCTTGATCACACTGTTTGGCAACTCCGCTGGAGCCGCTTCGGTGGCTCTCCATCTGATGAGTCCACGAAGCAGGGGTCTCTTCCACAGGGTTATCATTCAAAGTGGCACGTACCCGCCTGGGGACGAGACGGCGAACGCGCTGATGGGCCCGTCCGTTAGCGAGAACAGTTTGGAATTAGCACGCCGTTTGGAATGCGAAAGTGACAACATCGAGGAAGTCGTGGAATGCATGAGAGGTAAAACGGCGCTTGAAATAAAGCAAGTCTTTGACGAATACAAAAACGAAAAAGATGGGATTTTCTCTCAGCCTTTACAACCGCGTTTTGATGACGACTTTTTGAGTGCCGATGATGTTGCCAGAGGCAACGCTGAAGGGGTACCTGTGATGCTGGGAACAGTAAACGATGAATTTGCATTCATCTTTGCAATAACTGGAAAACTTCACACGCTTGATGGTATTCAGGATCTTGCTGATGAATACATCGACAATTTCATACACAGTAAGAAAATGAAGCTATTCTTAAAGTATCAGTACCTTGGTGAGAACTTCAGCAACGCGCCCCCATCAGTTGTGCGTCGGGCCTTTTTGGACGCCATGACGGATCTAAACTTCTTGAAACCAGATTATTTAGCGGCTAATGAGTTTAGTAATAAAAGTAACGTCTATGCATACCATATGACACACAAGTCCAGTTTTGCTCATTGGCCGGACTATGTCCAAGCAGTGCACATGGACGAACTTTACTATGTGTTTGGAGACGTTTTTGAAAAAGATTTATTCGGACAAAATGCCCCAACAGAAGAAGAAACCAAACTTAGTGAATACATGGTTAATGCCTGGACAAACTTTGCTAAAACTGGGTAAATATAAGTTTGATCATTTAAAATGATATTATCGTTGTACATGTTAATATCGGATAAAGGGACTTTGAAATTTAACTTCAGATAAAGGTTCCCTCGTGCAAAATATGGTTTATGTCAGTTTCTTACAAGAATAATAGTTTGCTATCATCGATGAGGTCCTAGTACCGGTAGAATGGAATCCATTGCAAAATACAGGATATTAAGATCAGGGGTTCCTCCTCATAACTGAAAGTAAATTTCAGGTGAAATGTTTGTTATTTAAGGCATCTTGCAGTGCCTAGTTAGTAGTTAATGAAAGGTTTGAAAATTGGGGGTGGAGGGTACCCCACTCAACCCCCACCCACGCCTAGCCCCACTGAAAAGAAGAGCGCGAATAATCATTCTGTTTATTGTTAGTAGACATTATGCATGCCAAGTAGTAAAATGTGTATATTTGCTTCAGGGATCCAAATACACCCTCACCCTTGATCAACGGAAGTAGACCCCTTTGGCTGCCATACACGGTGGATAACAAATATTATTTAGAATGGACTGCAAACCTGTCGCAGCAGTCTCTAAAGAAAAATCTCAGGCTCAGAGAAATGGTACTTTTGGTGGACGTGTTGGAGAAAATGAGGAACAGTTTTGAAATAGCTGGTAAGGAGTAGGGTTCATCTGTTTTAGTGGCATATCTTCTATACTTGACGATTCTGGATTCTGTAACATGGTAATTCTTTGCCGTGCAAAGCAAGGCAAATAAAAAACAATACACGGGGACATATTTGGGACACGGGGCTGGGAAACTGCTTGGCTTCGTTTAGTTGCTTTCCTTTATTAGCTGAAGGATAGGGGTAAGGGATACATGAATCTCCGAAGCTAAGGAGGCATTAAGCCTGTGTGCTCCCATTGTGCCCGGCGTAAGGCATCTACAATGGGCTTCATTTGAAAAAAGGTAAAATTGTGTAAAACTGGGTGTCAGATATTAAGACAGGCACACAATTTCAGCGCTTGCAATAAACGTACATACGTCCCTGTTCTCTCTCTCTCTCTCTCTCTCGTTGCAAGCATCACAGAAAACGGTACGTCATATATTTTTTTTAATAAATGAACATTACCAACAGGATATATTTCATTCCGCCTGAACTTAAAAGCTTATGCCAAATATTTAGAACATTTGGATTCATTTGATTGCATATATAATCACGTCTGGTTGACCACAATTGAACTTTATTGGACATATGTTTTGATTAAGGTCAATCCATACAACATGTTCAGCAAAACAACCCCAGGCTCAGAAACAGATTAAGAGAACGAATGACATTTGTGTTTTCTTTTTTTCAGTTCCCCCAGGCATGCTGTGTATGGTTACGGTAAGTTTATCATTAGGTTTATTCTAATTACAAGATTTGGAACTGAAGTAAAACATTACCGATGTGTTCTGGAGATAATGGGTAAGAAAATTGTTGGCTTAGCAGTTTCCGCACGAGATTGTATTTGATCAATGAAAAACGCAAAGATGAATTTTGGCACTTTGGCAAAACTTGTTAATGTATATATGTGCGGAGGAAATTCTTTTCACTTGTACATTGATTATATAATCTGTTTTAATTTTCACCTGTGGTATTTCAATTTGCAATACACCCGTTCGTTAAAAAAGTAAATTAAAATGTGACCGTGGAATTTGATGGATCAGTTTTACTTTAGTCCTAAAAGCTTCCAGGCATGGAAGCCTGCCGCAAATTTTGCTCTGTTTCATATAGCGTACGTATACATGTAGTACCATAGTTCATATCAGAAATACCTGGTATACTACGCATGTCCTATCTGTTTTCGTTTACTTCAAATCAGAGTCACAGGGATTGAGTTCTCTTTTGGTTTCTTTATTTCTTTTATTTTTAATAAGTATATCATGACCCAAATTTGCCATCTTGAAAACAATCGAAAATTCGTTAATGCTAAAAAAACTTTTAAATCGAACACAGAAACTTACAATGGGTAGACAAGGGAATGAAATGAATATGTAAAACAGGGGCGGATTTAGGCTGTCTTCTGGGTCTTCTGAAAGACGGTCAGATTTTCAAGTTTACATTGACGGGTGTCTAATTTTTTCTGTCGGAAGACGGTCAAAAATGGAGGATGAATCAACAAAGATAATTTGGAAGACTGTCAGAAAATTTCTCTGGATCCGCCCTTGTAAAATGACAACTCTGCTTGGATACAATTTTTGAATGAATGAATAATGTAAGCTTGGCATTTGGCAATAAGAGAAAATATCGAAAACGCGTTCCACAGAGCACTTGATTTACGGCAACATCTTAAACAGCTCGTGTCGTCTTCACTGAAAACTGGAATTCCGCCATCATGATTTATCCGACCGTATGCTACACATGTGCCCAGAAAGCACGATAAGAATCATATTACAGTGTTAGTAGTGTTACTAGAAGACCTGCGGTTGTTTAAATAATGTCCCGCCTAGGAAACGTAAATCACAATAACAAGAGATTAGAAGATCACCATGTCTTAATGCCCTGACGAGTATACTACTGCTATTAGATCCTCTTCTAGGTATAATCTGTACGGAAAACTTCATGCTTGTCTGGGAAATTTCTCCCGAGAGTTAGCTGCAATGAGTGTGTATGCTTAGAGGTGCGAGTTTTTGATAGTGGTTAAACAGGGTATCATGGTCAACCTTTGTTCGTTATCAGAATCAAAAATAAAAATAATTCGAAAAAAAAACGTTAAAATCAGTAGATTTTCTTCAGGCTGTCAGCAATGCGACATAACAATCATTCAAATGAAGTTTACATTCGCGAATATTGTACATAAAGTCGTTTCAAAATCTATTTTTAGATTCTTAGAATCCTTAGAATCCTTTATTCCGGAAAAGGCCTTGTATAAATTGTTCGCTTTCGATAAACGTTGATTTTTTAAAATAACGTTAATTTTTATATTTCCAGGAAAACATGAAACTGTTTTCTGTGATGCTCGGTGTTAGCGTTTTCTTCCTAGTTGCATTTCTGGTAATGCTGACACTTTGGTGTAGACAGAGACGAGCGAGGCAATACGGCATGTGAGCCTTTAGGAGCAGTGTTGTCAGTCAGCCAATCGCAGCATTATGATTTGAAATACACGTGGACCGGAAGGATACGGCAGACGAATACATGCATTAAGTGCTCACGTCAAATTTAAACTGCATTATAAATGTCATATCACATATAATAGGTGATAATGAAGAAAACACATTTCCAGGCGTGTAGGCTAAAAGTCGTAATGCCGAAAGAGGAATTAATCTGCAGTAAATTTGGCAGTGGAATGTCTTGTTATCATTGGAAATCTTTCCCAGCGCATGAGAGGCGCTGCGTTAAAGGGATCGCTCTTGTATCACACTATACAAGAGAACAAGATCACGCGTGCTTAAATTATGTGTGAAATGAACTGATAAGAAACTTGGAACGATCCATGTAATCACTTACGGAAAGGAATTTTAAAAGATTTCACACTTTCCCCCAGGGGGTTTTCTGAACAATAATTGGAACGACTGCACATTAAAAGAAAGTTTTTGTACATTTTAGCCAAAGCGGCTGTATATATATTTATAACTGTAAATTGTTTCTCTTAAGTTAAAACAAATCTAGCTTGTGTAAACACTTCTCTTTGTGACAGTAAACTTTGACTTTGGTATATGCATAAATACAAGACTAAGCAAGAGATTAGTTGGGTAAACCAAATTACGCCAAAGAAATCAACAAATAATACAATATATGTAATGCAAGCCAATAGCTATAATATGATTTTAATGAGGCTAGAGGCTGAGGTTAGAGATCTATAATTATGTTTATGTTTGGCAGCCGCTTGTATATTCTGTCAAAAAAGTATCAAATGTCTATATTCGTAAAGATAACAATATATATCATATTAACCTCTGTACTCTATATCAGCCTGTGACTCGGTGACTGAGATGGAATTTTTATAATAAAAACTATGAAACTGAACCTATTTAAAATAGCTATTTATTTGTGCATAAGCACATATTTGCTGAAACCGGGCATTGGCAGATTATTTGCATATTTTACCGACGAAATGGCCCCACCCATTACCAGCAATAGTACAGCGATGATAATTACAAACGTACCAGAATACGTGAGTCAAATGATCGTGATGTGTGCTTTGCTAAACCAAGTGCAATGGTTTTCTCCAAACAAAAAACGCATCAAATTAGATTCCGGCTCCAAATCAGCAGACAAGAACAGAAACACACTGCAGGGTTGCCTGGTCCTTGCTTGAACGCATTACGCCATTTTAGGAGGCCCTATTGATTCCCAGTTTTTTCTCCCCTTCCACTTTTGCTTGGTCTTGACAATTTTACTTATGCAGTTCACCTTCCTATATGATGTAGTATATATTTTGCCTTGTCACAGTGTCCCTGATCCTTCCAAAATATGTATGAAAATATATATATATATAGGAAAGGATAAAACACTATTTATCTGGACTCCTTTTGATTAATATTAAATTACCATCACCACCACCAATAAAACCATGGCAGTAGTTGAAATACCATGTGAGACATTAGATCTGCGCAGGTTGACATATTAAAATCATTTCTGTGCGTAAACCTTGTAGCTTTGCCGGGTTTATAACGACATTGTTGATGATCATAGCTAGTAATAAATATTGGACATAATTATCATATTAAGATATCATCATTTTTTTCTATTTGAAAATTTGAAGGTTCGCAGGAAGAGTGTTTCATCTGGCAGCTGCGTAGGTTAAGGGAATTTAGTCACTTTACTGCCTAACAGTTTTTAGTTGGCTGCAAGGAGGAATTCCAGAGAGCTGAGCGTGCTCTAAATAAATTGTAGATATTTTGATGTCGGTAGCATTTCCCTTTAATGGATAAACCTTCTTTCTTTTTTTAACTGGTATGTACTCTAGTATTGTACTTACTGACGGCTTTCTACATACCACTAGGTCATCAGACACAATAACTGAAGCTACATGTGGTCGCATATTAAAAGGTATACTCCATGGGTTTGAAAATCCCCAAAATGATTATTTTTGCCATCCACAACTTCTTATAAAACCTTACATACACCTTAAAATAATTTAACCTCTTAAATATATTTTTCCGGAGCGTGCCTGATGTTGATATTTTCATTGTAGGTTATAGGAAAATGGCCACTGTTATAATGACTGGCCAGTCATTTTAGGCTAAAATTAACCTATATAAATTAATTTGCTCAAAAGTTGAATCAATTGCCGAGAGAGATAGATAAATGGTTCGTGAGTTCGTGAGCTTATTTTCCCAGGAAAATGCGTTTTGGCGGGTAAAACTCATGAAGTGTACCTTTAAGACCAAAGTTTTCACTGTGCTACTTAATTGGTAGCATCCACGGCTACGTCAAGATATTGGACCTATTTGAAATGGCATGAAATGCTTACTTTGTGGACTAATAAGGTCTAAATTTTGTTATTGTTCAATGTTAATCGTCACTTTCGATCTTTAAATTAATACGGATTCGGAATCTTAAGTCAACTGCGTTTTGGAAATTGGATCCGTGATGCATTTTGTATGCGGCATTGATCTTAGACAATGTTATTTTGGACGTTCATAACAAGAGGTTAGCAATGCATAAAGACTTGGATCACTTTTCAAAATAAATCCTTCAAGATATCGCGCACACTCAGCAAACGAAAACACTTCAATTGACTCCACTTCAGTTTAAGAAGGTGTTATTTTCGTATCACATAATACCCACATACCGAGATTTCCTCCAATGCTGAACAAACTACCCACTGAAAAAGAAAAAAAAACATATCTTTCAAGTATCCCCCATGAAGGTTAAGACGTCGAGATCTTAGTATCATCCAATCCCCACAGACCCCAAGCTCGTCCGAGTGGCAATAAGTATGGGTAAAAAGTACCAGGAAGCAAGCGCTAGCGCGGTGCTGATCACCTCCTTCATTACTCTGCTGTTAAATTAACCGTAACTTGAAAATGCGCCGTCCCTTATCTTTTTGCTCCAGGCACACTGTTTTAGAGCCAAGAAAACAAGAGAGGAATGGAACTTGACAGCTTCATTATTGCCAGGCAATAAACGGTTGATGACATTGACGATAAAGCAGACGACTTCAACAGAGATCGATTCAAAATTGTTGCGCGATATTATCGACGTGTTGGTCCCTGGGAGAGGAATTTGTTTCAAGTTTAAAACGGCAATGGGTTTTTGTTTATTTATTTAAGTGACGGTGTTTCTACGATGAATGCAATACTAAATGTTGACTTTACTTCTTAAATTCAAAGGACGTCTTTAGAGCACATCTTTTTTTAACAAAAAAGTGAATTTCTAAACTAAAAAGTGCCCAGATGGTCAGTCATAATACTGAGAAAACAAAATATTTTATCACAAACATGTTTACTATCTTTACATAAGGAGCTCTATGTTGGCATGAATGGCGGCTAAATACAGGTGTGAATATTTACACCTGCCAATACGGAGAGATAAAAGCTGGTGACAACACTTTAAACAGATCCAGTTATTTGGCAACCGTCAAGTAACATGAGGGAAATAAGTAATCTAAGCTTGTTCTCTCTGACATTTTGCTTTCTGGCATTTGCCCCGGCTTGGGCAACGGGAGGTCCTTTCGGTCCCGTCTACCCCGTGACGGCATCTTGGTTTGCGAACAGATATAGTTTAACAGAATGGGACAAGGCTCTTGGCGAGTTCAAAGCCATAGGGGGCGACACCGTACTGACGGTTGGAGCGATGTACAACAACAGGACAAAATCTAGCATTTTGCAAGATAAAGCATTTTCTGGGTAAGTGCTTTTTCGGTTCGGAGAATGAATATTCTCTCTTCTCCTTTCTGTAACTAATATTCAGACCAGCGGAATGGGTGCCAAACTGGACGAAATTGCTAAAACATACATTCAACACTCATCCTTTGGGCACATCTTCACTATATTTGCCCCCCTGCACCAGCACCTGATAAGGCCAAACCCTAAACCCCTTGATGCTCTGCTGCTGCTGTTAATACATGCAGTCTTGTAATGTCATGTATACAAACCACGCAAAGATGAAACGTCCCAGCTGGTCAAACAAGTTCTTTTAAAGTTTAAGAGAGAAAAGGTGATAAACACACGCACGCTCTGGGGTTCTGCTTAAGCAATCTGGGCGATTTTCAAATCTGCATCTTGGTTGGTTAAAACGGTGCAAGTAGGCCTAACATCATCACAGCATTTTTACAAAAGGGGTTTCGAAAATTCTTGCACATTTTAAAGCATTTAGACGCTATATCAATAACCTAATTAGCGTCTGACTTTTTCAATTTTGTAGTGATGTTTAACTTTTGAAAAAAAAAGGTCAATGAGTGATTGTTTTGTTGCAGATGCGTTGCCAATGGCGTTCACTGTGCCGAAGACGCGGAACAGGAATTAAACAAGGCAGGGTTGAAGATCGTATCTTGGGTCACCTATGAAAACAGTGAAAACTACGGATCTAAGATACTGGCCTGTCCTCTGGATAAGAAGATAAGGATGACGTCACCGGACGTGACGTATTATCGTGTTATTCTTCACACTAGCATTGGCTATGACAGGTATAGATCTACATATTCTCACTTGGTGGTTATGTGATAAAGTGGAATAACCTATTTTGATTAGATATTTTGTTTAACAATAAGATTTCTAGAAAGAAAAAAATGCATTTAAAAGGAATTTTGGTCTGAGGTATTTCAAGAGAAAGAATAGGAATGAATACCCCATGTCTCTTTTTCAACGTAGGCCTACCTTTTGGCATCACCTAGTACGTTATTCTTTTACTCCTCCTCAAAATAAACCAAATAAACAGAATATATAAATATCAAAATTAAAAACTTATCTTTAATATTGCCAAGTGGACAAAACTAGAAAGCAATCCCTGAGTTCCTATGCAAATAGCAATAATGATATAACCCGTGCAACCTAAAGTACTGGGTATGTGCCACTCTCTATTTAAATACACAGGCCATCTTGCGAGTTTAAACCAGGCACCAACGTCACAGTACTGTTCACGGCATTCACTGGAGCGGATCCTCATTCCCTCCTCCTTCAAAGTGCTTCCTCAAAAAACATAAGCATCTTCCTCGGCCTTCCTCGACTTCCTCGGGTTCCTGAGAGCGACGTGGGTTTCCAGATGATTCTGTCTTACTCGGAGTGGGTTTACCGCGCCCTGGTTGATCACAAGGACAGGTACGGTGCCAAATTTTCCAGCACCCTCATTGGGTACTTCAGCGGAGATGCCTACGATCTTGGAGATCTGACCAAAACGTCCAAGGGTGCAGTTGGGTCATCTTCAGAGGGTGGCCAGACTCCCACGGCTGTTATCGCCATCTACCGGGAAGTCACAGCCCTAGTACATTACAATGGTAAAGCGTTTGCGACGGCGCCCTCTATCGACCTTAGGAAGTCTCACAAACGCGCCTTGACTGATTACACCAGGGGGATGATGCTGTTGGCCTTTTTGGGGGTTGATGTCATTGCCGTCCAAGAGGGTCGGGGCCTAGGTAAATCATCGTACTACGGCGTAAATGAAACAAGAGTACCAATCAAAAACGGAGACCCAACGCTGTTCCAAATTCTCAAGAAGAACAATCCGCTTTTGCCAGAGACCGTTACATTTGGCGATGTCTATATTAATAANTGAATAACGTATATAAACAAGGTGATAAGAGGCCTCGACCCTCTTGGAATTTCGGACTGAGGTATTTCAAGAGGAAGTATAAGAATGAATACCCCATGTGTCTTTTCAGCGTACCTTTTGGCATTACATGGTACTACCATCTTTTACTCCTCTTTAAAGTAAACCAAATAAATATAATATATAAATATCAAAATTAAAAACTTATCTTTAATACTGCCAAGTGGTCAAAGCAGAAAGCAACCCCTGAGTTCCTATACAAATAGCAATTATGAAATAACCCTTGCAACCTTAAGTACTGGGTATGTGACACTCTCTATTTAAAAACATAGGCCATCTTGCGAGTTTAAACCAGGCACCAACGTCACAGTACTGTTCACGGCATTCACTGGAGCGGATCCTCATTCCCTCCTCCTTCAAAGTGCTTCCTCAAAAAACATAAGCATCTACCTCGGCCTTCCTCGACTTCCTCGGGTTCCTGAGAGCGACGTGGGTTTCCAGATGATTCTGTCTTACTCGGAGTGGGTTTACCGCGCCCTAGTTGATCACAAGGACAGGTACGGTGCCAAATATTCCAGCACCCTCATTGGGTACTTCAGCGGAGATGCCTACGATCTTGGAGATCTGACCAAAACGTCCAAGGGTGCAGTTGGGTCATCTTCAGAGGGTGGCCAGACTCCCACGGCTGTTATCGCCATCTACCGGGAAGTCACAGCCCTAGTACATTACAATGGTAAAGCGTTTGCGACGGCGCCCTCTATCGACCTAAGGAAGTCTCACAAACGCGCCTTGACTGATTACACCAGGGGGATGATGCTGTTGGCCTTTTTGGGGGTTGATGTCATTGCCGTCCAAGAGGGTCGGGGCCTAGGTAAATCATCGTACTACGGCGTAAATGAAACAAGAGTACCAATCAAAAACGGAGACCCAACGCTGTTCCAAATTCTCAAGAAGAACAATCCGCTTTTGCCAGAGACCGTTACATTTGGCGATGTCTATATTAAAAATACTCAAACGGTATGTCTAGGAACGAAAATAGTAGCCTTTGGGTCATAGTTGTTGGGTTTTGGAATGCCACGGCCTTAATCTATTTTACGATCTGTTAAAGTATAAACGAAACTTGAAACAAAAACAATAAGCGAGTTCTAAATATAACCTTATAATAGACTGCAAATATAAATTTGGAAAACAAAATTAAATCTCTCCCACGGAAATGTGCACGAAACACAACAAGAATTAATAACATTACAGCAAAATTTTGCACAATGACATCAATCTATATTTTCATAGAGCCTGGGGGGAAATTAAAGGAGAAATATGAAACGTGTCTCACCATTTTATCATGGTTTTTTTTCTAGCTGTTTCAATTACTGTCAGCTTCTCGTGAGAAAAATCAAGTCCAGTCTGAACTGTGGCTTGTGGTGCAGGCATTTGACGACCTGGGTGGGGGCTGCCCCATCGACGTGAACTTCTCAGGATCAGGTAATGCATCTTTCAAACCAGAGAGCAGTCCAAAAGTGAAGACCGCTGCCGAGGAAAAATACAATTAATTTTTACAAATATTACGAGGCACGGCTCGGACTTGTTGCAATTGGAACATTTCTTTCCCTCCTTGTTAACCTTCTATAGTATCTTGAAAATGCCAACGAAATTTGTAAAGAACTCTTTGATGTATCTCGTCCATTAACAAGCAGACAAACCAACGCCGCTAAAAAAATGGATGGCGGAGGAGGCAATACCTTCGTGTAGAATTTTAAAGCCCTTTCACACATTGTTAAAGCCTAGATTACATTTGAAATGCCATGCCCGTACGGTGCACGCATACTGCCCGTAATACCCTTTTCGTACGACGTCTGAGCGGAGGTAGACGGTGGCCGAGCGAAATCGTACGGAATCGTACTGATTAAAGGTCATGTAATGTAGACATACTCGGCGTAGCCCGTAGCTCCTTACGGTTTGTGCCCGTGTAAATGTAATCTAGGCTTAAGAGGAAGGCAACTGAAGAAAATCCACTGGCTTTCTATTTTCCCAGATATCCCCTCCAAGGCTGTGCCAGTGGACAAGTCCCGTGTGGACTGGGCCATTTCTTCGGCCGGGGCCAGTGTCCAGAAAATAGCCGTCATCGCCTGGGACGATCTGTACACCTACACTGACAAAGAACACAGCAAGAGTCTTTCACAGGTAGTTTGTAATTTTGCTAGCTAGTCTGTTATTTGTAGAGGTTAGTTGACATTGGACACCGTAATTCCTACTGAAGAGTAAGGGCCAGATTTGGTACACAGACTCTAAAACGGACTCAAACTTTGACACATTAAAGCGTTTTTCACATCCAGATAAGTATTACAAAACCTGTGCATACGTGTGATATTTCGAGAATAAAATTTGTCCCTATTTTTTTTTATTCGATATCTTATGAATCGAGATTTAGATGCTAAGACTTACTCGTTAAGCGCTGTCAGAGATTGATCAAGAGAAAGCAGACAGCAGAGCTGCGTTTCGTTTGCGCGCCAGAATTTCCCTGGACTGCTTCAACCCTTTTCCTAGAGGAGGGGGAGGTATTTTAAATTAATTTTGTTAAATAAACCCTCATGCTGCTTAATGCAAGTCGCGATTGCACCGACTTTCATCTTTGTTGAAACGATTAAGTTTTACTCGCCTAAAAACATCATGTAAACTCATGTAAATATAGTTAACCAGTGGAATCCGTTTCCGACTTATGTCTAGGTTCTCACTGATACATTTTTTTCGAAATTGATATTGCTGGCGAGGTATTTCTCACTTCCTGTTGGAATTTAATTTACCTTGTATCCTTGAAATGCGTTGAAACAAAGTTATTAAGCTCTGCTGCGTGGCGACATTAATGGTACGTAATTGATTAACGTTTCATTCAAAGCTGTCTTTGCAAAGGGATTCGCAGCCCGGTTTCGAGCACCATTTTAGAGCAATTTCCAAGAAGGAGGCAGTTTAAATTTGACGGCCTGTGGAGTTATCTATTTATAGTGCTCTGATAATCCACGGAGGATGACATCTGAAGTTAGTGCGTGCTTAATTCATACCGACTTGTACACTACCGATTTTCACCCCGGTTAGTCTTATATTGGAGGGTGTAGCTCTTAGGTAAAGAAACAAAGAAGGATCTACGCATAGGCTCCTCATTCGTTTTAATCAATACAAGAAAATTGCCCAATTTGAATCACCTTAAAACAGTTTTGTAACTCTATAGAGATGATTTTTGCTAGTTTAATTTCCACAACAACTAATGTGATAGATTTGAAGTAATTCAAGTGGAGTCTCCGTACATTCAGCATTTAATGTATTTCATCGAGTCAAAATTAAAGCAAGGAAGAATTCAGGCAACCCTTTCGCTTTCACCCTTTTCCTTCCTTCTTTAACTTCTACATTATCCTCCTTAAGTGGATCTTTACAATATATTTCCATGTATTTAACTTTAATTAATTCTTATTCAATTTAATTCCAGCAAATCAAGGAGGATTTGAAGAGACCTATTCTCTCCTACTGCAATTTCCACAACAGCCGAAACCTATCAGTAGTTGTGATAGGGTACAATCTAGAGGGCATGACGCAGCCTTTTGAGGTAAATATAAAAAACATTTATTCTGAATTACTTTTTTTTTACTTAAGAACTAAATAATTTGAATGAAAATTATTGAGCAGGATTTCGATTAATTTCAATTTCCATATATGAACGTCATTTAAACTTCAAAATAACAATTTCAAGTGATTAAGCTTACACGATCTGAATAGTTGAGAAAGATGGTCTCACACTGGAAAAAATGGAAATACAAATAAAATTTTCTTTAGTTTAGTATTTTGTGACAATAACAGATATATTCTTGGTGCGTTCGAAAATCACGTTTTCTGTCTCCAATCTCAACTCGTTATCGCTGTCTCGCTTAATGGGTTTAGAGATTCCGAGTGATTTATATCAATAACCCAGATATTTCCTCCTTCAGCTTCGCTACTTGGATTCCGACGGTAGCCCACGAAAGAGTGACATCGGCGGATATTACTTCTGGTTGGACTATGGTGTAAGACGCCACCTGGTGCCATCTCTACAATATATTATGTTATGGGACTGGCTGCCGCTACGCGACATGGCGGCGCGTGGCTATATTTACGTCATTCCTTACGGAGCCTATCATGGCTGCATCTTTGAATATGATTTTAACGTCTAAAAGGGACACGTCCAAAAATTCTTTGAGAATGATCTCTTTACATACGTTATTGCTTGAAATACTGTATAAAACTATAGTTTGGATATGATTAAAAAGCACGGCGGAAATCTGCACGTTGAGAAAAAAATTAAGAAATTTCTTTGCACCGCTTGCTCAAGTCGTTTGGAGTGAAAATATTTTGTAAATTTTAACAACTGCGAAGTCAAGAACGTTTTTCACTAAATACGAGTTGTTTCGTACCTTATCTGTACTCTTGTTAGATTCCATCATTAAAATTATTTTTCGTTTCTTTTGTGTTTGTGTTGATTTCTTTCGTTTTCCGCACCACTTGGAGGGTGTGGTTTCACATTTTCCGAAAAATGGTATCCGAGCAGAGGTTTTCTACTTTTTTAATATAAATAAGTCAAATTTACGACCCGAAATTTGATGAATGTGCAATGTTATTTTAATCCTTTTTCTTGGCTGTTCAAATAACGAATTTGGTTCAACCTTTGGGACCATATGCTCTTTCGAGTCGTTTAACAAACTAATAGTAGTAATTTGTGTTACAGGGAATCCACGCATGTTTCATGTGTAACCTAAATTATGTCACAATATATTAAGAAATGGAAAGTTGGCTGTAGCCGAGCATGTCCATGAAGGACCAGAATCTAAATTCCACATGCTGTTGCACCTTATTCTTGCAAACCTTAGGATCAAACTACAGTAGCACTTTCAGTGCCATTCTGAAATACAGTCTTCATTTTTGAGACTGCACAAATTGAAGTACCATTGAATTCCGCATCATTTAAACCGGCAGTCTTTTGCACGATTTCCCAAACCACCATAATAAATGGACACATTCTGTGATAACATAAACAATTTACTAAGTCATATTTATACAAGGTGTGTGGACTGTATATACAAAACATTTTTGTATAAAGAAACTTATTCAAAATTAAATTTACCATTGGGTGGAATGTTCTCAAGACATAATGTCATTCATTAACTCACACAAATGCAGTGCATCAAGCACCTGTAGTCCTAAGAATAACGTGGAACTTTACGTGGTTTTTCAGTGCCTCTCCAGTAATGATGGCAAAAAGGGAAATCATTTCTGAAGGAAGTAAGCATAAGGCTCCTACCTAATAGAACCTGTGGCAGAAATCGCTCATTTTTAAAATGTCAGTAAGAAGCAGATTAACTACAGGTGAAAATTTTGTCTCATTTCAATTTTCTCTTTTTTGCCAAAATACCGTGAAACACGTCTTCTAGCTAATAAAGATACAAACTAATTCAAGTTTCAAATATTACACACAACATTAAGGCTAACCTTAAATTATGATACAAGCCAGCTCCAAAATATATTACAAGGTACTTTGCCATGCTTTTACATGTTTCTCGATACATGTAATCTATAATTGTGACACAAGATATTTAGTCAGTTTTAAATTGTATTCACATGATACAGGCATTTTTATCAGAAGATAAACAAATCCATTTTCCATGTTTGTTTCATAAGAAAATATCTCAGGCAAAGACAGCTCTCTGATCATTTTATATACACATGTCAAGTAGTTCTTTTGAAAGTTGCCTTTGTCGTCAAGTGTATGTGTATTTTACACCAGGTTTTGGATGATGAGTTTTCTTTTGGTGTCATGTTGGAATCTGTTATGACGGAAAATATCACTGTCGTAGAATGCAGACAAAGTGTGAATGTTGATCTGTCGAGCCTGAAAATAAAAAGAAATTTACAATTGAAACAGGTTTTTTAAAATCTGAAAAAAGGGGAGGGGGCTTGTCACAAGCTGTGCAATGTTTTAAGACAACTTGAACTCACTCTCATAATTTTTTTTAAGTTTTGAAAAAAAAAAATGGGAAAAGGCTTGTTTTAATCTTTGTTTACAAAATGTTATTTGATCTTATATTAAAATTCTACAATGCAGATCCTTATTTTAAAAAATAAATTAAAAAAATGAAATAATAAAATGAAATTGCATACTTTGTCTGCTAAATCTTTCTCTGAGATCTCAATGTAATCTTGGTCAGTGGTCCCATATCTGTTTCTCTGGAAAGCCATCTGGTCCTGGGCAAGCTGCTTCAAGATGAACAAAAGGAGTTCGTTGTTGTCACGCTTGAATGACAGATACCGGGAAAATGTCTGAAAACAATGGTAAATTAATGATTATTATTAACATCCAGTTGAGGTGAGATTTCTGCACAAATTTTGGGTTTATCAATATTGATGCCCTCATGTCTTCCTCACTAGGTGTGGTTTGTCCCCTGATTATGGGAACCAGCGAGAGATTGACCATTTCAGGGTAGAAGGGTCAACAGGTGTGCACAATTGTTATGCAGAAAATCTAGTTGCAGTTAAAACCTGTATTTATCATGTGTGATAGATGGGGCATTCAAGGACATTGGCATGATCCATCCCACATGGCCATTCTCAGGCATAAGCCGCGTGAAATGTCAGGGAACCTTAAAATGGTCAATTGAACAGGTTGCGACTCCACACTTTTTACCATTGTGTCATGTGAAACATTGTTATGTGAACCATGTCACTGAGAACTCTACCTTTCTCATACTCCTCATGATGCTGAACTTCTGTGTGTTGATAAAGCTCTCCAGCATTATCCTGATGGCCATGTTGACATCGTCCTCATTCACGTAATCTCGCAGGTGCATGCGTGCATGAGCTTCTGCCATTCTGATCATGGATTCTATGTGACGGACAGTGATTGGAATACTCCCCGTGGCCTGTAAAGTAGGAAGAGATTCTTTTTTTTAAACATGCATTTTATTCCAGAATAACAAAAAGTCCAAACTTGCAATCAAAGCCAAATTTTTAACCATTTATTTCAGATTGTCAAGCTTTTCACTACAAAGTTCATCATCCTTGTTTACAAAACAGCAATATGTTATTAAGAAGTAAAATATAATTTTAAAATAAATGAAAAAAAANGAAATGGAGGTGGGCAGGGCATGTCAAAAGAATGAAGGACAATAGGTGGACAATCAGGCTTACAGAATGGACCCCAAGGTATGGACAAAGAAAAAGAGGAAGGCCGGTCAAACGATGGAGGGATGAATTAGATGACTACTGGAAGTCTTGGAAGAAGAAACCTTGGCCAAACTGGAAATCTGAGGCTCAGGATAGGAAACAATGGAAAAAGCATGCTGAGGCCTTTGTCCAACAGTGGAACACTATAGGCTCTAAATGATGATGATGATGATGAATATGTTATTAAAAAGTAAAATATAATTTTAAAATAAATGAAAAAAATTTCTTTAACATACAAACAAATATTCAAGTGCCTTTTAAAGATATGACATCCAGGAATAACTTATTTGTCAAGTAAAGACTTTCATCTTAAATCCATTTTCAAATACCTCATACTTTCTCCAGGCATCAGAGTTCATCTCAGATGTGTCATTCAATATTTAAAACAGAAGCCACTCACCATGGATTCCCTTCTGAGATCAGAATACATCTTGGACACCTTATCCTGGTCCATCTGGTTCAGCTTGGGATGGCTCTTCTCCTTGGCATAGATGATGTATTTCTTCAAAAGGTCCTGGGGGATCTTCTCCAAGCCAGACTCATCCAGTTGGTTCTATACAGAAAAGAGTGTATTATTTCAGGACATTTCAGGGATACCTCACATACTACTGGTTCATCATAACAATGACTGTGCACCATTTTTCTCTTAAAATATGACTGACTGATGTGGTTAATTATTAATTCATTCACTCATTAAAACAAGCATCAGATATGAAGCT